TGACAGGTGCGTTTACAAACATCATTCTGTGACAGGTGCGTTTACAAACATCATTCTGTGGCGGGTGCGTTTACAAACATCATTCTGTGACAGGTGCGTTTACAAACATCATTCTGTGACAGGTGCGTTTACAAACATCATTCCGGGACGGGTGCGTTTACAAACATCATTCTGTGACAGGTGCGTTTACAAACATCTTGCTATGACAGGTGCGTTTACAAACAACATTCTGTGATAGGTGTGTGTTTGTACAAACATCTTGCCATGACAGGTGTGTGTACAAACATCATACTGTGATAGATGTGTGTACAAATACCATTTCATTTTGTGACAGGTGTGTATAACATCGTGCAGTGATAGATCTGTGTACAAATATCATTCTGTAACAGGTGTGTATAAATATCGTGCTGTGATATGTGCGTGGTATAGGGGCGTGTACAAACGCCATTATCGAACGTGTACGTGTAACATCACCATGCTTGTAAGCGTACACAGATCCCTGCGGTAGTCGTATCACCACCATATGGTGCTTCAAATTATGTCAACAGTAGCCTTTCGCAGCAGCAAGCACAATGCTGGGTCAGTTGTAAAGGGTTATCACATCAGGAGTTCGCTCTAACGCCCGGATTGATTCCCCACACATAGTCAAATGTCACTCCCATGATAGACTGTTTTCATCACAGTAATGCTACAAAACAATTAATTAGTTGTCGATAGCACAGTGACGGGGGATATATCATCTAGTGATTGTAACAGATTCTATACTCTACAAAAACAGAAACTCAAAGTTGGTTTCCAGATGTATACTTCATGTATTACATAAACAATCCACATATCATAATAAATTGGTCTGATTGTTTGGTACAAGTCATTGTCACTGACCGAGGTTCATCATGACACACAGAGAATAAATGACTATGAAGGTGAAGGTTACCTGTTCTCAATACCTTGTATACCCCCACTGGGGTCCAGAACTGCCTGACATGCCCGTGTCATCTGCTGGAGGTTCTGTGGCTGTTGACGTAATCGCAGACTTTGATCAAAAACTTCCCATAAATGTTAGATGGGGTGTAGATCTGGAGACCTTGAGCGCCATGGCACTACTTGGATGTTGTGGTTCTCCAAAAACATCCTTGTCAGTTTTGCCGTGTGAGGTCAGGCGTTGTCTTGCTGAAAAGCAATGTTTGCCTGTTTCCTTGTGGGAAGGACGTGTGGTACAACAATGTTATCTGTGTAACGTTGTGCCTTTCATGGGACGTGCACCATGTCTGTTCACCTGGAAGGAAATATGGCGGTCCACATCCTTACACCGGTGTACGGAACTTTGCCCACAGGAACTTTGCCCACACCAATTTTTACAGGGGAGGAACGTTTCCCACAATAATAATAATTCAACATGATATAAATGATATGATAGTATTTTATTAAACTACACAGAAATAGCATATAACATAGCACATTGATAGTTGAAAATGAACTATTTCTTATAATTTCCATCTTGTAATGCTATGTAAATCTGTAAACAATCTTTTATACTTTGTCAAGCTTTGGTGAAGTTCAAAAACAACATATTCGTGAGCAGGGTATTAAGGTGGGTGAGTAGTAAGGTAAGTGTTTATTGTAAATAGAAAAAGAAATACCAACAAGCAGAGAAGCCTTGTTGGAGTGCAGTTAATGATTGATCTCCGCTATAAATAACACATCCTGAGCAGGGTATTAAGGTGGGTGCGTATTAACATTTATATTGTGGGCAAAGTTCCTCACCTGTAACAATTGTCAATTACCTGTTTTCAGGTTCGAGCATAACGTTCTCTACGATATGTGCAGACACTGCCTGTACAGAAAAACAAAAACACGTGACTCGTCACTGAAACCAAACACGTCTCCATCGCGGTTGTGGCCATAGTCTGTGTCCTTGACGCCAGCCGACGATGCTGATCAGTCATACTGACTCCTCGAACTGGTCGTTTCGGGCGAAATACTTGCGACACGCAGACGGTTCCTCAAGGTCCAGGCTGAAATCCTACCCAAATCTGGCATTGCTGTAGCTATAGAGGTAGCCGTAGTGATTCTATCCCGAATGTGACAAACCCGTTTGAACCTGTCCTTCAGACACATGATTGACCGGATCTGGGTAAAACACGTGCTGACCCCATGACGGTTCCATAGTGTTGGAATGAAACTTAGCGATACGTGGGCAAAACCTGACGACGACCGAAGCCGAGTGGTTTGTTTGCAGTCGACCGATGGCGTTGTTGCGTTGAGCTTCTGTCAGTCACGACATGTTTTCAGCTGTACAGCTGTGATGACAAATGCTCATCGTTTTCATCGCCAAACATTACACATTCTAAATGCTCTTCAAAGATTTGATTTTATGTTCACGTTCATTTCGTGTTGGTGTGTTTGGCCGCCACGCCCCCAAGTGGTTGCATGTTGGTCACTAACATCATGTATATAAAAGCGCGTCTAGGGGTCATACTCTTGGTCAGTCAGCTCGCCAGATGTACCCTAAAATGTCACATTCAGCGTGAAAACTATCAACACTTTACGTAGATAACAATCAGTATACCTTGGTCTGTGGCATACTTATTCATTTGATGGCAGTGGGTAAGACAAGGATAGTGTTTAGGTGGCTATAAGACCATGCTGCTCCGTGACCTGCACATTACGCATGTAGAATGACTTCCTGTTGTTCATTGACAACCATGTGTAACAGACAACCATACATACAAAATGTGTACATCTCGTTCCATGACAATCACACACTGTTTCAAGTCCGTGGCTATGGTAATTATGCCAAGGAAGAGGCGGTCGGCTCGAATACGGGCGACACGGAGACGTCGTAGCATGCTGCGTCGATTGATGTGGCGTCACGATGGTGTTGCTGCCGTTATGAAGAACTTGTTGGGCAAATACAAAGTGTGCAAGTAGTTATCCCGTGTCGTCGTCACGCACGGTGTGCCTGCTATGCCCTGTCCTGTGTATTGCTATTCTGTAGGGATCAAACTGTGTCACGATGGTTGTATGAGTAGAATTGACATGTCGTACAGTCTGGATGTGGATGGCATTTACTTGACGATTCACTCCTACCCCCTTCGCTCTGTGGTGCAGTTGCCCCTACTTACTGTCGTATTTCTGACCCTAGACTAACAGCTAGTCTCTGAAATGAATATGTTTCACAGAAAAAAAGTTCTTGAAATATAATCATAAGATATAATGAAACTCCACAGACTTTCTTCATTTGCTGAAACTGTGGCAATCTAGACTTGCCACATATTCTAGCTTTGTATGGGCTTTCTTGGATACATTTGTTTCAGGGTCTGTATGACAGACTATTATGACCCCTACAACTGTAATATGTCTGTGTGTTGGACATTCAAAGAAGTAAAGGCAGATGGGTATGTAACCGTGACTGTAATTTGCCAGATTGAAACTGCCACTCATATCCTCAAATTAAACTGTATTACAGCATGTATAACATTGTCTTTTGTTCTGACGTACATGCTTTTCAATATGAATAATTTTAAAAATGTCCATTGCAATGGGGTAACAGATGGTCAGTAACATGGGACGCCACCTGCTGCTGGCGATGTAGCGAGACGTGGATGGCTTTAACATCCTACCTGCCTCGATGCTTTACAATGTTCAAAGAGAATAAGTTAACATAAATCTACATTAACATGTTTCCACAAACTATGATATGTGTAATATTTTTAAAAATCAAGAGGTTTTCAAGAGGTTTTCAAGAGGTTTAAGGTCCAAATGAGGAACAGCTTGCCAACATCAATGTGAAAGTGGAATCGGTGTAGTGCGCGGTGCATATGGAGCCTGCTGCATACTTGCTGGCTGTGAGACAGCGTGAGGACATCATCACTACCCCTTGTCATGTGGCTGAGAGCTATCTAGATATCAATCAATACTCCACAATCTAGTAGTGATTACACTGATCCCGAGATCAAACATTGAGTGATTGATAAACTCGCCGCTTATGCCTACACAGCTTGCAGCTAAGACAATACTGCGGACTTAACGCTGATGGCAGTTGATCAGTTCAGGATTTCTTCTGTAAGATTTTGTTTCTTTCCGCATTTCGGTCAATGACATATTCAACTTGTTTTCGCAGTGAACTCAAAGTACTGTGCGATTTAACTGTCGATCGCTGGGGTAACTTTGGGGTAAAAAGGGAAAGAACTATTTGTGTTTGAATTACACACGCCGACTCTTCCCACGTTGTATAATGTTCTAGATTGAAGTCTTTATCTTTGGTGGGGCGGTGGGGTAGTCTTGTGGTTAAGGCGTTCACTCGTCACGCTGAAGACCTGGGTTCGATTCTCCACATGGGTACAATGTGTGAAGCCCATTTCTGGTGCTCCCCGCCGTGATATTGATGGAATATTGCTAAAAGCGGTGTATAACCATACTCACTCACTCACTCACTTTATCTTTGGTTAATTTGGTTGCCTTGCACCTAAAGTATATATTTAAAAATGCCTCTTTCTACTAAATAACAATAGAGTTAATACGAACAGTATTTGATAGCATGTTGCATTGCATTCTACATGCAGTTATCACGCATGTTCCTAGTCGGCCGGGCACGTGACACTTGCCAACATACCGGCAGTGGCTGTGTGTACATACCGCTTGTACAAGGAAGAGTACAATATGTGTGAGGTCAAGTCTGTCTCGCAGATAACTGAAACTGTTTGAGAGAAGATTGTTCTTGCAAAGCAAGTTTTGTTTACGGGTGCCTAGAATAGTAACTGCTAATGCTAGTAATTGCATAGTGATAAGGCTCACAACCCATACCCTGAAGCATGCTCACACGGCTACATTATTACCCCGTCAAAGGATTAGCGAGCACACGATTTCCATTCTTATCTCCCCGAGGTGCATACAACAGAGCGGTGCCCGTGAGGTACTTGAAGGTTAATCGTAGCATTATCATCTAATTCTATCTGGTACCCATTTCATGCTGGGAGGCATAATTCGAACAAATTCACTTACTGAAGGTGACACAACATGCGATGCACGTGCTTCAGCATTCCGTTATCAGTAATAAGTGGGCCGTGCAAGTCAGTTATGAGGTCTTCTATCTGGTCGACTGGGCAATATACCGCTGTTTGAATTTTCATACAAGACAAGAACATTGAGCGTTGTACAGCCACTGAATATTTGCCTACAGGCTGGTCTAGTACTGGTCTTGTCCAGCCTCGATAGTTATGAGAAACCTTCTCTTGCTGCATAGGTTTTAAGTAAATAATAAGCTACACTCACGTCCAAAATAAACGTCCCCAAAATTTAAATTACATTATATTTGCTGGATATGGCCAAAAACACGAAAAACAGTTCGGAACACATTGCCCAAACACACAAATGTATGACACCCAAAGGAAATGCACGTGTTGTATGCCAGAAGCGAGAAAAATGACTTTATTCAGTGAAATTTCCTGCACGTGCAGTAAATCACCCGTATTGAGATCGGTTATAAAACACGTTGGAAACTGTTCTTTGCAATCACAATCATCTAAAAAAACAGCAGAACATGTCTCGATTAACAACAGGAAAGAGAGAAAGGCCGATTGGCATGCTGCAGCTGGGAGCAACGCACGACCATGTTAGAATAATCCAAGGTTGTGCAAAAAGAACGATTGGGACATTGGTCACAGGTTACAGACAAGCTGGCCGGACAGCAGACAGGCCGAGGAGCGGTCGACCGGAAGTCACTACCCCACAAGAGGACCGTTATATACGGACGCTTCATTTAAGCAACAGATTCCTCGCCGTGACGTCATCATCAGTGCTCAGCCTTGGTCATTGCGTCAGCAGGTGGACAGTGTCCAGACGACAACGTCAACATGGAAATCGGAGCCTATAGACCGTTGAGGGGAATGACGTTACCGCCGGAATACCGACGTCGAAGATTGATTTTGGCCAGGAATGTTCGTCAGTGGCAGCAACGGAACCGGCAACGGGTCCTTTTCAGCGTCGAGAGTAGGTTCCATTTGAACAGAACTGATGACCGAAGACGTGTCTACCACTGGCGTGGGGAACGGACGGCACGTTGTTGCGCTTAGGAAACGGAACCATATGGTAGAGGGAGTGTAACGGTTTGGGGTGGCATGTGGGAACACCGACCTTGTTATCATCGATTGCAGCCTGACAGCTCGTCGGTATATTGATGAAGTGCTGCGGCCCCATATGCTGCCTTTCGTCCAGCAATATCCAGGAACCTTGTTTCAAGAAGGCAATATAACACCTCACACCGCTTTTGTCACAACGGCCTTTCTCAACGTCAACAACGTGCCCGTCCACCCTTGGCCACGAAGATCCCCTGACATGTCTCCGACAGAGCACTTGTGGGGCCATCTTGGACGTCGGATTCTACAGCTTCCACACCCTCCATTGACGAGAAATGCACTGGCTCAGGCATTAAAGACAGAATTGCGACGGATCCCCAGTCACGTGATCAGGAGACTTACACACTCGGCCCGACGATGCGTTCTGACGTGCACCGATGTAAGGGGTGGACATGCGCGGTATTGACGATCTGCCTTTCCATTTCAACCTCTATTTTGTCATTTGTTTATTTTGGCTTGCGCTCGAATACTGGACAATCGACCCCCATGCGACAACATTCATTTACCACTGTTAGGTTTACCACGTTCTCTTTCTTCATGTCAGACATGCTTTACATACACCTTCGTTATGCATATTAAACGTTCATATCTATTCGTTTCGTGTTTGTGCTTGTGTTGTTCGGTAGTTGAAAAATACTTGGGGACGTGTCTTTTGCACGTGAGTGTAGAGCTTTAAGTAAATAAGGTAATGTTTTTCTTGACCTGCTAGGCCAGAAACCTTCTCTTGTTGCAAGTGAATATAGTAATGTTTGTCTTGACTTGCTAGGCTAGTAACCTACTCTTGTTGAAGTGAATAAAGTAACATTTGTCTTGACCTGCTGGGCCTGGAAACTACCCCTGTTGCAAGTGAATAAAGCAATGTTTGTCTTGACCTGCTGGGCCTGGAAACTACTCTTGTTGCAAGTGAATAAAGTAATGTTTGTCTTGACCTGCTTGGCCTGGAACCTTCTCTTGTTGCAAGTGAATAAAGTAACATTTGTCTTGACCTGCTGGGCCTGGAAACTACTCTTGTTGCAAGTGAATAAAGTAATAATTGTCTTGACCTGCTGGGCCTGGAAACTACTTTTGTTGCAAGTGAATAAAGCAATGTTTGTCTTGACCTGCTTGGCCTGGAACCTTCTCTTGTTGCAAGTGAATAAAGTAATAATTGTCTTGACCTGCTGGGCCTGGAAACTACTCTTGTTGCAAGTGAATAAAGTAATAATTGTCTTGACCTGCTGGGCCTGGAAACTACTTTTGTTGCAAGTGAATAAAGTAATGTTTGTCTTGACCTGCTTGGCCTGGAAACTACTTTTGTTGCAAGTGAATAAAGCAATGTTTGTCTTGACCTGCTGGGCCTGGAACCTTCTCTTGTTGCAAGTGAATAAAGTAATGTTTGTCTTGACCTGCTGGGCCTGAACCTTCTCTTGTTGCAAGTGAATAAAGTAATGTTTGTCTTGACCTGCTGGGCCTGGAACCTTCTCTTGTTGCAAGTGAATAAAGCGATGTTTGTCTTGACCTGCTGGGCCTGGAACCTTCTCTTATTGCAAGAAAATAAAGCGATGTTTCTCTTGACCTGCTTGGCCTGGAACCTTCTCTTGTTGCAAGTGAATAAAGCGATGTTTGTCTTGACCTGCTGGGCCTGGAACCTTCTCTTATTGCAAGAAAATAAAGCAATGTTTGTCTTGACCTGCTGGACCTGGAACCTTCTCTTGTTGCAAGTGAATAAAGTAATGTTTGTCTTGACTTGCTAGGCCTGGAACCTTCTCTTGTTGCAAGTGAATAAAGTAATGTTTCAATATCTGTGTGGACAAATGCAACGTTCCCCAAACACTACATTGTGCCGTTCCACTTTCTCCTATTTACTACAATCCGAAGGCGCGGAATGAATGTAAAATGCAGATGTACATGTTTGTATATATTATGTGTATATACAGCCTGGTCAGTTCAGCAAACATGTGTAAAGGTATGTATTTAAACCGACGTACAACAGAAAGCGCACGCAGGATGTTTTGGGATGATTACAGATCCAAACCCAACATGACTACGAGCAGTACTTATACATTAAAGATGTAAGACTATTCGTGACTTTACCGTGAATCAATATGCTAAACACATGAAAGGTTTTACACAGTTACTGGAAACAAAGATGCACTGTCTCTTCTTGAATATATGCAATTCAGCTGCTAATTCATCTTTGTGGTTATGCTTGAAAAAGTGAGAACCAATGTTCTCTTCGTGTTGCATTGCTTTTGTGTATATGACGAGTTACGCGTTCTCAACGCTGGCCAAAGACGGAATCGCCTGTCAAAGTGAGTGATATCAAACCCCAAACCCCCAACCCCCCAACCCCCAGCCACACCCCCGCCCACCCCGCCCCCACCGGCATGTGATGTTTGAAATCAATTGACACCCCCTAGTACATGTGTACAGAATTGATGACCCCACCTACCTCCCCAGGACAAAATGGGTGACCCCCCTTAAAATCACACACCCCCTTCCATAAATTATGAACAGTCCCTAAGTGATACAGCTATACTCGCACACGTTCTGCCTGGGCAAATCTAGGCGTGCTAGCTACAACATCAGTTGTTTGACGTACAGCTTGTTTATAGACACCCAACATATCTTCATTTTTGGGAGAGAGTGGATAGATTACGTCACATGTAGACGTTGTAAGCAACTCGTGAATAAGGCTATCCCAACCAGCAGGAAATCCCTGCGGGCATTTACAGCGGACATCAGCACACATCGATATCGAAGTACTCACATCGGTATTGCAAGCATAGTGATATGTTTGTCTGTAGAGGCCGTATTGGTGTATAGGGCTGTTATACAATTATCACATAGTTATGATATATATAGAACAAGTTCACGACCACCGGTTGCTTTTTATTGATCGAGGGCGAACTCATTTCCGACACGGAGTCAGCTAGATACAAGAGGCACCAACAGAGATCACGAGCTCAGAATAAAGTGCAATAAAAATTGTTTGCGAATAATTTCTCCGGGGCGCAATATAGCATCCGGTAGCGAAACGTTGAAAGAGTTGACAAAGGACTGGGTATGTGATGCAGATGGAAGTTTCCCTTCACTTCGATTGCTCCATTTTTTCGGTGGATATTGAATACCAAGAGCAACATAAATCGAAGGAACAATTGCTTGACTGAACTATGCCAACAGTATTAAACACTGGGCTGGGCACGAGGCGCCGAGAAGCATCACATCAGATAATATAGCCGTCTGACCTCAAGAAGCAAACTCTAGTAATTACCAGGCTGCTGGCAGTCGGGGTTCACAATATTCTTAAAGTTTCCCAATGCTACTGAAAGCAAAGGGTCGCGATTCAAAGTAATGCAGCCACAGAAATCTATATATTTAACATTGTTTTTCCTTGTCCAAAACCCGTCATGTAAGAAACCTTAAAATAGAAGTGGCATGTATCCGTTATAACTTATAATGTGTCCAGTCAGTCTCAGGAACAGGAGTGAAATGCATCAAGCATCACAGTCCTGTCAGTGGTAGGAACAGGAGTGAAATCTATCACGCATCACAGTCCTGTCAGTGGTAGGAACAGAAGTGAAATGTATCACGCATCACAGTCCTGTCAGTGGTAGGAACAGGAGTGAAATGTATCACGCATCACAGTCCTGTCAGTGTTAGGAACAGGAGTGAAATGTATCACGCATCACAGTCCTGTCAGTGGTAGGAACAGGAGTGAAATGTATCACGCATCACAGTCCTGTCAGTGTTAGGAACAGAAGTGAAATGTATCGAGCATCACAGTCCTGTCAGTGGTAGGAACAGGAGTGAAATGTATCACGCATCACAGTCCTGTCAGTGGTAGGAACAAAAGTGAAATGTATCACGCATCACAGTCCTGTCAGTGTTAGGAACAGGAGTGAAATGTATCACGCATCACAGTCCTGTCAGTGGTAGGAACAGAAGTGAAATGTATCACGCATCACAGTCCTGTCAGTGTTAGGAACAGAAGTGAAATGTATCACGCATCACAGTCCTGTCAGTGGTAGGAACAGAAGTGAAATGTATCACGCATCACAGTCCTGTCAGTGTTAGGAACAGAAGTGAAATGTATCGAGCATAAGAGTCCTGTCAGTGTTAGGAACAAAAGTGAAATGTATCGAGCATCACAGTCCTGTCAGTGGTAGGAACAGGAGTGAAATGTATCAATGTATCAAGCATGAAAATCAGTGAGTAAACAATATGAGAACACCTTCAGTGAGTGAATATCAAATGTAGATCTCTGAATAGCATGGTTTAGCTCGCTAAACAGTATGAGAACACCTCATTCAGTTCGTAAATAGCAGGTTTAACTCGCTAAACAGTATGAGAACACCTCATTCAGTTCGTAAATAGCAGGTTTAACTCTCTAAGCAGTATGAGAACACCTTCAGTGAGTAAATAGCAGGTTTAACTCTCTAAACAATATGAGAACACCTTCAGTGAGTGAATATCAAATGTAGCTCTCTAAATAGTATGAGAACACATCCTTCGGTGCATAAATAGCAGGTTTAACTCTCTAAACAGTATGAGAACACCTTCAGTGAGTAAATAGCAGGTTTAACTCTCTAAACAGTATGAGAACACCTTCAGTGAGTAAATAGCAGGTTTAACTCTCTAAACAGTATGAGAACACCTTCAGTGAGTAAATAGCAGGTTTAACTCTCTAAACAGTATGAGAACACCTTCAGTGAGTAAATAGCAGGTTTAACTCTCTAAGCAGTATGAGAACACCTTCAGTGAGTAAATAGCAGGTTTAACTCTCTAAACAGTATGAGAACACCTTCAGTGAGTAAATAGCAGGTTTAACTCTAAACAGTATGAGAAACACCTTCAGTGAGTAAATAGCAGGTTTAACTCTCTAAACAGTATGAGAACACCTTCAGTGAGTAAATAGCAGGTTTAACTCTCTAAACAGTATGAGAACACCTTCAGTGAGTAAATAGCAGGTTTAACTCTCTAAACAGTATGAGAACACCTTCAGTGAGTAAATAGCAGGTTTAACTCTCTAAACAGTATGAGAACACCTTCAGTGAGTAAATAGCAGGTTTAACTTTAACTCTTCAGTAAAATAGCAGTCTAAACAGTATGAGAACACCTTCAGTGAGTGAGTAAATAGCAGGTTTAACTCTCTAAAACACCTATGAGTAACACCTTCAGTATGAGAAACCTTCAGTGAGTAAATAGGGTTTAACTCTCTAAACAGTATGAGAACACCTTCAGTGAGTAAATAGCAGGTTTAACTCTCTAAACAGTATGAGAACACCTTCAGTGAGTAAATAGCAGGTTTAACTCTCTAAACAGTATGAGAACACCTTCAGTGAGTAAATAGCAGGTTTAACTCTCTAAACAGTATGAGAACACCTTCAGTGAGTAAATAGCAGGTTAACTCTCTAAACAGTATGAGAACACCTTCAGTGAGTAAATAGCAGGTTTAACTCTCTAAACAGTATGAGAACACCTTCAGTGAGTAAATAGCAGGTTTAACTCTCTAAAGTAAATAGCAGTATGAGAACACCTTCAGAACACCTTCAGTGAAAATAGCAGGTTTAACTCTCTAAACAGTATGAGAACACCTTCAGTGAGTAAATAGCAGGTTTAACTCTCTAAACAGTATGAGAACACCTTCAGTGAGTAAATAGCAGGTTTAACTCTCTAAACAGTATGAGAACACCTTCAGTGAGTAAATAGCAGGTTTAACTCTCTAAACAGTATGAGAACACCTTCAGTGAGTAAATAGCAGGTTTAACTCTCTAAACAGTATGAGAACACCTTCAGTGAGTAAATAGCAGGTTTAACTCTCTAAACAGTATGAGAACACCTTCAGTGAGTAAATAGCAGGTTTAACTCTCTAAACAGTATGAGAACACCTTCAGTGAGTAAATAGCAGGTTTAACTCTCTAAACAGTATGAGAACACCTTCAGTGAGTAAATAGCAGGTTTAACTCTCTCTAAACAGTATGAGAACACCTTCAGTGAGTAAATAGCAGGTTTAACTCTCTAAACAGTATGAGAACACCTTCAGTGAGTAAAAATAGCAGGTTTAACTCTCTAAACAGTATGAGAACACCTTCAGTGAGTAAATAGCAGGTTTAACTCTCTAAACAGTATGAGAACACCTTCAGTGAGTAAATAGCAGGTTTAACTCTCTAAGACAGTATGAGAACACCTTCAGTGAGTAAATAGCAGGTTTAACTCTCTAAACAGTATGAGAACACCTTCAGTGAGTAAATAGCAGGTTTAACTCTCAGTAAACAGTATGAGAACACCTTCAGTGAGTAAATAGCAGGTTTAACTCTCTAAACAGTATGAGAACACCTTCAGTGAGTAAATAGCAGGTTTAACTCTCTAAACAGTATGAGAACACCTTCAGTGAGTAAATAGCAGGTTTAACTCTCTAAACAGTATGAGAACACCTTCAGTGAGTAAATAGCAGGTTTAACTCTCTAAACAGTATGAGAACACCTTCAGTGAGTAAATAGCAGGTTTAACTCTCTAAACAGTATGAGAACACCTTCAGTGAGTAAATAGCAGGTTTAACCTTCAGTGAGTAAATAGCAGGTTTAACTCTCTAAACAGTATGAGAACACCTTCAGTGAGTAAATAGCAGGTTTAACTCTCTAAACAGTATGAGAACACCTTCAGTGAGTAAATAGCAGGTTTAACTCTCTAAACAGTATGAGAACACCTTCAGTGAGTAAATAGCAGGTTTAACTCTCTAAACAGTATGAGAACACCTTCAGTGAGTAAATAGCAGGTGTAGCTCCATGTTCTTTTCTAAAACCACAAAGTCCATTTGAAAAATTTGGATTTTGCGTAGTCATGTTTAACAGAATCCGTTCCTCCTGACAAATCTCCCTTGCCGTTTCCTCTATACTCCTGTATGTATGAACCTTTAGGCAGTCACCTTTCGCGTGTGTTGAAGTTGGAGAACATGTATGCGAAATGGTTTTGCAGTAAAGAACTAGTATATTTTGTATGCTGTGTTTGTCATATTTGGTGGAGGAAGCTTGGATAACCTCATCGCACATTCAGTTGTTTTTCTTGCACAGGAACTTTAAAGTTTATAATTATAAAACGAACTAAAAGAGCACGATTCTGCCCAGATATTACATGTGACGGAGACGAAGAAACTGCTATACAATGTAAGACTAGAGCTAGAGCTTCGTGAGATTCTTGTACTGTTCGATGTAGGTACAGGTCACTCAGTGATCCACGCAACTTAACATTCACTAGCTACTTCACGAATAGCCACATTCACTGCTCTATAATGTGTATGAAGTATACAAAACATTCATGCAACCTCATGGTTTATCTCGATGTAAGATCATTTCTTATTCATTGTACTTATGAGAAATAGGCCCTTCCCCCATTAACACGCTGTTTATTGTAGTGATTTCAATAAGAAAACAACAAAAGAACTATTGGCATGGAGTAACCGTTAGTGTTTTCAGGAATATATTTCTTCCACAAATTCGCCTTTGTGGGGTGTGTTAGTT